GGCCCCGCGCATGTGTGGGCGCTGCGCAGCTGGGGAGCGCGGAGCGCCGCAACTCGCAGATGCCGCGCGCGTGCATTAGTCATGCCGCGCGCCGCGACTGATCTACACACGCGGCGCGAACGGTCTTCGCCGGACTGGCTCCACGCGCGCACGCGTGTCCCGTTCGGTACTCATGGATGCGGATTCGCGCAAGTAGCACATGCATCATCCAAGCGGCTGCACCGCCTGGACCGGATGCGACGGGCAGCTTTGCGTCTTCAGAACTTGTACATGACATGGTATACAGCCCGCGCGTCGTGGCCGTCGAGGGTGCTCCACCGAAGAGACTCCTCTTGCGCCGCCATGCGTACCCTCCACAACTTTCATTATTTTCCCTCACAACTTTTCCCGGCATCACGGTGATGTGCACCGAAGGGCTTGGCGGCGCCGGCCGCATGCGCCCCCGTCGCCCATGGCGGAACTGCCCACGCACGTTCCCCCGGCCCATGCAATGCGAAGGCTCCACTTCCCCCGCCCGCATGCGTCTTCGCAATCCTCTTCGGGACACTTATCACACGTCGCGTGGCCTCATGGGGACCTCCACCGAACAAGGGCCCACTGGCGTGGCCCGCACGCGTTCCCGCCGACCATGCCACCACTCACCACCATCGTTCCTCTGGACCCTGGGGAGCTCTACAGAATCCCCCACTGGCAATGCCCGCGTGCGTTCCCGTTCTCCAGTTCGGGACACCGCATGCACGTTCCATGGCCTCACGGATATCTCCACCGAAGGCCCCACTGGCGCCGCCCTCATGCGTCCCCGGTATTCAGGTCGGAACACCCCTCACACTTGTCGTGGCCCCATACCGAGCTCGACCGAGGATGTGCGTTGAGCGCGCCGACGTGGTGTTCTGGGCGCCGAGGACGGTTCCCACACACGGAGACGACTGGGCGCCTGGTGGCGGGATGTGCCTACAGCGCGCGCGAAGAAAGCGTGATGGTTTACTTCATATACCACGAGATGTGTCAACACGCTGGCACCACGAGGTGGCGGATTTGAAAGGCGGCTTGCTTGACTCCACCCAGCGTGTCTTCTACGATTTCAGAGCCGCACGTATAGTGTGTTGCACTTCGGCTACTGTTCGCTCATGTGCATTTCTTTCACCGTCTTCTTTCCCCAAACAGTTTGCTAGATTGGGGTGCAGTTGTGATGGTAGCTAGTTCCGCCCGAGGAAATCTCAAGCACAGCAGACATCCTCACCCAAATCTGTTGGTCCAGGCGTTTTCGCCTGACACATCCTTGCAAATCTCGTTTTAGAGTTGTCCGGGATTACGCGTTTCCTTACAGTCATCCTCGAAACCTTGGGTTTCAGCGGCCGTTCGAGAGATGGTCCAGGACGCTTAGCCTGAGCCACTCTCGCACCTCTGGGTTCCGAGGTGCCGCGAGAAAAGTGGTCCGGCCCGTTTCGCCTGAGGCATTCTCGCATCTCGGGGCTCCCAGTGCCCTTCCCACTGACTTGAGGTGGTCCACCCACGTCTGGCCCCCAGCTAGCACAGTGTCTTCTTCGGGCCTCTCTGCGCATTTCTTCTTCCCGCGACAGTCTGCTCAAGTGGGTTGCCGTTGTGATGGTGGCTGGTTCCGGCCGAGGGGATACGAAGCAGATATATCCTCACATCAATCTGGAGGTCTGGGCGGTTTCGCTTGAGACATCCTCACCAACCACGTCAATGAGTTGTCTGGGATTCGGCGTTTCCCATGAGACATTCTCGAAACGCTGGGCTCCGAACGGCTGTTCGAGAGGTGGTCCGGACCGTTCCGCCTCAGACATTCTCGCAACTCCGGGCTCCGAGCTGCCGCGCGAGAGGTGGTCCGGGCCGTTTCGCTTGAGATCGAGATGTCCTCGCCAATCGGCCCAGACATGCTAGAGGTCACCAGAGGCCGTCCGGGGGCAGAGGTCCCATGGCTCGATGGGCTCTTTGTTGCCTTGCGGTCCTGAGAGACGGGGAGGGGGCGAGGGCACATGGCCGGCCGAGTTCGGGCGCGGCCGGGTCCGAGATCAGCCGACGGCTGAACTCGGACCCGGCTGATCTCGGACCCGGAAACTCGGACCCGGCTGAACTCGGACCCAGCTGATCTCGGACCCGCTGAACTCGGACCCGGCTGGTCTCGGACCCGGCTGATCTCGGACCCGGCTGATCTCGGACCCGGCTGATCTCGGACCCGGCTGATCTCGGACCCGGCTGATCTCGGACCCGGCTGATCTCGGACCCGGACGCTCTCGCTGCAGCGCGGGCCTCGGTCCGAAATCAGCTGGGTCCGGGTTCAGCTGGGTCCGAGATCAGCTGGGTCCGAGATCAGCTGGGTCCGAGTTCAGCTGGGTCCGAGTTCAGCTGGGTTCGAGTTTTTGGGCCCGGGATTCCGGGTCCGAGATCAGCTTGGGTCCGAGTTCAGCTGGGTCCGAGTTCAGCTTGGGTCCGAGTTCAGCTGGGTCCGAGTTCAGCTGGGTCCGAGTTCAGCTGGTGTCCTTGGGGCTTCCTGGGCGCCTTTTTGGGCGGAAGGCTCGATCGTCGGTTCGTTATCCCCTTCTTGGGCCCCTCTTGGGGCCGTCCTGGAGCCCTTATGGGGCGCCTTGGGCGCTTCTTGGGCCGTCTCGGGGCCCTCTTGGGCCTTCTTGGAGCCTCGTTGGGGCCCTCTTCGGTTCTCTTGGGGGTTTTGGGGCCGTTTTGGAGCGTCTGCAGCTCGAAAAGGGGAGAACCCGACGACCATGAAAAAACCAAAGGGAATCAATGGTTTGTTCCTCTTGTGGCCCTCTTGAGAGTCCTCTTGGAGCGCTCTTTGGGCCTCTTGGGGGCCGCTTGGTCTGTCTTGGGGGCATCTTGGGCGTGTAGGGTCTCTCTTGGGCCGTCTTGGCGGCCTCGGCGGCGTTGCCGCCCCCCCCCTTCCCCCCTTCCCCCTCCTCTTCTCTTCTGCCTCTTACCTGTCTCTATCCTGCCTGCCAGCCTACCTCTTACCTCGCCATCCTAGGTTCTGCTCGCTGGGGGGCTGCGAACGCGAAGATGTCGCAACTTTCGAATGCCGATGGGGTGTCCAGTGTCCAGCGGGGTGACGTCATACGCAGATTCAGATTCGACCTCGCCAGCCCTGGGGACTGCGACCTGCAAAGCTGTCGCCACTTTCGATGGCTGCTTGGGGGTCCAGCGGACTGACGTCATACGCAGATCCAAATTCGACTTCGCCATCCCTGGGGGGGCTGCGACATGCGAAGCTGTCCTCACATTCGAGGACTGCTGGGGGCCCAGCGGGATGACATCATACGCAGATTCAGACTCGAGTTCGCTATCCCTGGGCGGCTGCGAACTGCGAAGCTGTCGCAACTTCCGAGGGCTTCTGGGGGGGAGTGGAGTGACGTCATACGCAGGTGCATATTCGACTTCGCCGTCGGTGGGGCGGGGGCTGCGAACTGCGAAGCTGTCGCCAGTTTGGAGGGCTGCGGCGGGGGTCCATCGGAGTGACGTCATACGCAGATTCAGGTTCGACCTCGCAATCCCTGGGGGCTGCAAGCTGCAACGCCGTCTCCGCTTTCGGGTGCTGCCAGGGGGGGTGCAGCGGAGTGACGCCATACGCAGATTCATATTCGATCTGGCAATATTTGGAAGGCTGCGAACTGCGAAATCGTCGCCACGTTCGAAGGCTGTTGGGGGTCAGTGGAGTGTTGTCATACGCAGGTTCAGATTCGACCTCGCAATCCCTGGGGTGCTGCGACATGCGAACATGTTGACACTTTCGAGTGCAGCTTCGGAACCCAGCTGTTTGACGTCATACGCAGATTCAGATTCGAGCTCGCAGTCCCTGAGCGGTTTCGAAGTGGAAGTGTCGCCGCTTTCGAGGGCTGCTTGGGGTCCAGCGGAGAAGCGTCAAACGAGTCAGACTAACCCTCGCCAGCCTTAGGGCGCCGCGATCTGCGAAACGGTCGCCATTTTCGAGGGCTGCTGGGGGATCCAACGGGGTGACGTTATACGCAAACTCAGATTCGACCTCGCGATCCTTGGAAGGCTGCGAAGCGCGAAATTGTGGCCACTTTCGAGGGCTGCTGGGGGGAGGGCAGAGGAGTGACTTCATACGCAGTATCAGGTTCGACCTCGTCATCCCTGCGGGGTGCGAATTGCGAAGCTGTCACCACGTTCGAACGTTGCTGGGGGGCAGTGGAGTGATGTCATACGCAGGTTCAGAAAAGTTTTGTTTTCGCGTCCCGCGGTCCGCCCAAAGACCTGACGGCGCGCCCGTGGGCGTTTAGTTTCTGCACTGAAGCGTGCAGGAAGCAAGCGGGGAAGACTGCGGACGATCTCGGCCTCGTTCGATTTTTGCTGTAGCTATGAACAGCTGACCTTTTGTAGCGCCAGAGCGACATTGCGCGGGCCGCGCTGCTTGTCCAGCGTGCCACCGGAAATAATCGCCACCCTCCTTCCTCATCCTGGTTATTTCGTTTTCGTCTCGTTTTCCGTCTGCCGTCTCACTGTTGCTGTCGCCTTTATTCTTCGGCCCGTTTTCCATCCTTCCGCTCGTCGCTCCCGACTCCCCATTTTCTCTTCGAGCCTGGGGTTTCACCTCTCGTCCTTGTTGTCCTGCCAGTCGTGCAGCGCATGCGTTTTCCATACAGCTTGCACCACCAACGGCAAATCTCATAATATAATCATCCATACGATTCTGGGCCAACCTCTTCGTCAGTTAATGCGAATGGATTGGGTCTGTCTTATGGTAAGCTAAAATAATTCGCCGCATGGGTGCGTATGCACATGACGTGGCCGGCCGGAGCAAGAGCTGAATCCTCACGTGGCCGCGTGTCTTTCCAACGATCAGGCCTCGTATGGCCGGGCATGCCGGATTTCCGCATTTGTATCCAGTGCTTGGTCTCCTCATGTGAATCCAGCCGTGTGCGTCTTGTTTCCTGGTATAATGTGGGAGGAAGGGAGGGCAGTACGTTGGGGGAGGGGGACACTGGCGAGGTGGAGGGGGGACATAGGTCGCCAGCGCGATGAATTCCGACGCCGCCAAGGACGAGGACGCCGGGTGGGGCGCGAGGGTTTCCCCCGCCCCCTCGCTCGACCTCCTTCGAAGACCGGCCCAGCGTGCTGGTTTTATGGCAGGACGGCTGCGCCAGCGCGGGATATTCAAAGTCGAAGGGCGCAAGTGCCAAAAGTTTGGGCATCATTGAGTATTGAGCTATATGCGATGAAGGAGAGCCACGACCGTTCAAGGCTGAGCGATCTAGGCGGTGTCAGGCTGCCGACGGGATGGCTAGAGGAGGTAGAGTAGGGACGGGGGGAGCCCAGCGTCCGAGGGCCAAGCAAAAGGTAGATACGCAGAAGATGGGTTTCCAGTCTCCCTCCCTTCTCGATTGTTTGTTGTGCTTATTTCTCTCTCTTTCTCCCTCTCTTCGCTCTCTCTCTCTCTCTCTCTTTTTGTGTTGTTCTTCTCTCTCTTTCTCTTTGGGTTTGATGGTGTGCTGCTGCTGCTGGGTTGTGGGCTCTTGCTGCCTGCATGGCGTTCCGTTTCTTCGTCGCCACGCCTCGGCAGCGGGCGCAAGCCAGTCGCCTCCCCGAAGGCGAGGGCAAGGCTGGAATTCCCAGGCCAGTTCCTCGGGCCAGGGAGGGGGATGTTTCCTCCACCTACGTTGGGTTCTAGCGGGGGCGGCCAGAAAATGGCGAACACCCAGATCATTCGGGGCACTCGAGGGCCTGGCTGACCCCATGCCAGGGAGGGGGAGACAGGGCAGAAGCCATCTCAGCCATCTCACCCCCGGGCGAATCTCGGTTGCCCATTGGTTGTTGCTTCTTCGGAGCGAGCGTGCACACGAGGCTGGTCGCCCTTCTGCAGGGAGCCTGTAGTTTTTTTTCGGATGCTTGATCACCAGGAGCCCTTCAGCACACTGCGCTTGATCACCGAGGCTCTCCCTCCCTGAGCTGCTCCGCGGCCCTGCCTTTCATTTAGTTCGCACAATATCTGGGTCAAGTTGTGTGCCCCCTTGCTGGCTTTCATCGGGGGCTCGTTGCCATCATGCGCTGCGCCCCCCCCCCCCCCCCGCCCCCGCCCGCTTTCAATCTTTTTCGGCGCGGCGGCCGAAGAGCACAGCAGGAGGGCGAAACGGAAGAAGACAACAAGATCGGCAACGTGAACACGGGCGCGTGAGCGTTCCCGCCGACGACGCTGGCAGGAGGGGCGGGCCCTTGGCGCTGCCCCTTCTACTCCTCTGTCAATGGGGGGAGGAAGCTTCTAAAGCGTGGACGCAGCGCGCCCCTCGCGCGGATAGGGGGAGGAGAATGGCGACGGGGACGGGAGAACAAGGATTGGAAATAGGGGTCGGGGATGAAGAGTTGAGGAATGGGAGCTGGGGGAGGCCGCTTCTTTTTCCTTGTTGCAATAACCATGGCTCAAAAACCATCCTGAGTTAAGAGCTTCTCCCAGGGTGAAGCTGCGGCGTTCACCACCCCTCCTCCCTCGATATGCCTTGTCATGAGTTTTTGTTGGCCCTGCTCGCATTGGATCGTCCGAACTCTCCTGCTCCTGGTGCTGCTGCTCTTCATACTTCCCCTGATCCTCTGTAGCCATTTTGGTCCAAGCCATTCGGGCTAGGAAAGCTTGACAATGACTTCTGTGTCATCCCGCGTCGAGGCGTCACGAGGACGTCCTTGCAGGCACCTGGATCCTGCTAGTCGGGCGATCATTGAGAGACTGGCCAGTATTGGAAGCGGCTTGCGCGACGGCCGTTGCTGCGGCAATCGGCCAACCGCCACGTGCCCATGTAGGCAGCGCCGTGAGGTATGCGGAGCTGGAGCAAGTGCAACTGCGGTGCGCACCAAACTTGACACCGAGGTGTCCGACGACGAACTGACGAACTAGGGCGGCAGGGAAGTGCCAACGGAGCAGCTCGGGGCAGGAGAAAGATGGCCCCCGCGGCCTACCACGCCCCCGAACGCACTCCACCCAGGCGGGGCTCTCAGGATCGAGGAATAAGCACCCCCGCGGCGCTTGAGCAGGAGGTGCCCCGCGGTGCGGAAGGGGCCCCGGGGTCAGAGCCGGACGCAGGCATGGGCCCAGCCGCGGCGCTCACCGGGGCGGTCGAACCGCTGGGCGAGGCGGGGCGCGGATCTGGCGGCAGGGGGCGCCCTAATGCCCGCGCCGCCGACTGCCAGGAGCTCCTGGGGGGCGGGCGATCCCTGCGGAAGAAGACCCCCGACGTCCCGCCGAGGCCCCAAGGGGGCGCCCGAGGGCCCAGAAGATGTCCCAGGGACGCGGCCCTCGGGAAGCGCCCTCCCGAGGCCGTGCCCGTCGGCCCAGCGCCGGCAGAGGCCGCGCCAGGGAAGCCTGCGGATGGGCCCGCAGGGACGATGGTCTGGAACCGCCCCCCGCGGAGAGAGCGCCCTGGGAGGGGGCAGGGTCGCCCGCGGAGACAGGAGGGGCGCCCCCGGGAGGGGCGGGGTCGTCTACGGGGCCCGGCGCGCTGGTGGGCTACCTGGGAGAAGGACGCATGTTGGCGGTCACCGGCGGGCGGCTCCAGGATCTGAGCCCACCCCGGTGCGGGGTGGTGGTGGTGAGGCATGGGGAGAACAAGGTGGGCCTCCCCCCAGCGCGTGGCTCGCTTTTCAAGGGGGGGAATGCCCTCGACGCCTGCTACCGGGGCTTTCAGGGAGCCGGGCCGCTTCCACTACCGCGTGCAGCAGGGAACTCTGGAGGCGCCGCCCTCGGCGCGCGGTGGCACCCCCACGGCCGTGGTGACCCTGGAGCAGTTGGGAAGCCTATGATTCGTCTCCGGGGAGGACAAGAGGGCGGTCTGCGCGCTGGCCCTAAATCGGGTCGAGCGGGCAAAACACGCGGGGGTATACTGAAGCATCTGGGCCCCAGGGGGGGGGCCTGGAGGAGAAGGCCAGCCCTGGGAGAGGAGGGTGTATTTTCAACTGCCCGTGGAAGTGAACGATCCTCGGATTCCGCCAGCGCGGGCAGGGCTCAGCCCCTGGCCTGGGTCGCGGGAAGGAGCCCGGCCCCAGAGGACCTGCAAGGGTGGGCCCCGCGTCGGGTGGGCGCCCGCGGGAGATCTCCAGGGGCGGCATCCGGTTGGGCGGGGACTGCGACCCACAAGACGGGACCTTGCCCGGCCCTACGCGGGAGCCGGCGGCCCGCAAGCTCGGGCATTGCCACCGGGAGGCGCCCACCATGCCGTTCCAGAGGTGGCTAGATAGCCGGGCGCTTGCCGGGAGCGATAACCAGAAGGAGCGGCAGCACATCAAATAAGTGGCACCTCGGGAGGGGGATGAGAGGGCGCTGAGAGGGGGGGCTGGACTCTGCTACCACCCACGGTGCGCACTTCTTGTGGATCTCGACCTGCGCATTTGCGTCAAAGTAAGGATGACGGCGGGGTACCAACGGAACCCATTGGCGGAGCCCGGGTGCCAAGAGAATCCATGGGGGGAGCTCACGGAAGCACCCGAGGGCACCCGCTGTCCGAGCGTCCGCCAAAAACGTCCGCTCCCCCGCTCCCCATCTCCTTGAGTAATGTATCGGGGTTGTCCAGGGGAAGTCAGAATTCATTATGACAGAACGTATTATATCATGAAACAGCACAGAACCGACCATAACACGACAGCAGAACATAGCGACGTCAAACAAGACATAACACACTATGCCACAACATAGCATGACATAACATAGCACGATCATGGCATACCGGACCATGACAGAGCAGTCTATAGCAATGTCATGAACAAGGCCAATTCATCACATAACCTTCCAGAACAGACCAGAGCGTGCCATGACTTAACAGAAGACGACATACCACAACACATCATAACATAGCCGATCATAACATAACATACCGTGCCAGAACATATTATGCCATGACACACCATCACGGAACACATCATGACACGACAGCAAAGCAGACAGAGCGACACATATTAGCAGAGCAGATCAAACTATATTATATACAGCCGAGCCGTCAACAAAACATAACATCACATCACACACCAGAGTAGCAAATGACATAACGGAAGACGACATAACACAACCTAACATAAGTTACCAAACCATTACGTACCACACCATGAAAGAACATATCATATCATATCACGATCTCATCACATAACACATCAGAACACGGCGGCAAAGCGCAGCGACACATACTGGCAGAGCATATCATTACATACTGGATTGAGCCGGGCTGTAACAGCATCGCGGGACAACGCATGCTATACCATAGCCTGACAGATCACACCATGTGATACCATGGTCACAGGGGCAGATGATACCATAACATGTCCAATTGCTTGGTGGCAGCGATGAGCACCACGTAACATACCCAATCAGAAAACATAGATGAATAGGAACATCATGACAGACGACGGGCAGACGACGCATCTAACGTCACAGGCGTAACAACGTCACGCCGGCCCGTCGACACCAAAACAGAACATATTCGAGCACATCATGCAAGAACGTGAGCACATTGAACACGCTTGAGCCGTTTTTTGAATCCAGAAACGGCAGTTGTCGACCAAGTCGGCGACCGCGCGTCGTCGAGAGTTTACGCTGAAGGTTTCGGTGGGGAGCGCTCGAAGCAAACTAATCGACATGCAATTGTTCTGACAGTTGGTGCTTGAGTGACCGCGCTGCTACCTGTGTGTGTGTTATTTGATGTCGGGTGCCCATCCGATACGATTGTCGTCCGTGCGACCGTCCGGTTCGGATGTCACGCGTTTCTGGGTTGTGTTGTTCACCGACGACATTGGGAGTTTCGATATCGCGCGGCACGCCGTCGCTACGGCTGTCCGTCGCGCATGTGGATCGCGCTTAGAGGCTTAGAGAAAGATCTGCACATCTACTTCCCCACATCCGCGCAGAGTCTGGAAATTGCCAGTGGTGCGATCCTACATCCCAGGGGGGTTTCAGGCGGAACACAAGGATTGTCCTACCAGCGCGTCTGGTGGTGGCACGCGGGGGAGTTAATCGTGAGGGGCAGGAGTGGAGGAGGAGGGAGGAGGAGGAAGGATGAGGCGAGGGCGGATCAGGAAGGAGAGGGGCGGCCGATATGAGACGGGCCAGGGGAGGTTGAGCGGAACCACGTAGCCTTACGTGCCGCGAGCCCGCGCCACGCGCTTTGCATGACACCGCGCTGATGCATGACACGTCGATGTTTTGTTGGTCACGGCAGCATCATCGGCGTACAATTGTTGTTTTCTTGTCGAGCCTTGCCTCGCATGTCGCGTCGCTCCCCTTAGTGGATGAAGGTCTGATGGTGGTGATGACGAGGACGATGCGGATGACGACGACGAGAACGCGCGGGGGCAACATGACCTGGAGGAGCAGCAGGGACAAGGGCAGGAACAGGTGTGCAAGAACAGGCAATCACAAGGCGACAAAAGAGGACGAGGCGTAGCAGCAGCAGGCGCATCGGGAAGAGCAGATGCAGGGTAATGGCAGGATTGAGAGACCAGACTAGCGGAAGATGGGGAGGAGCAGGAACAGCAGGAGCAGACAGGGGTGGGCGTTGCTGGTGCGAAGTAATGCGTAGTGGTTCGCCAGAAATGTTGGTGTAGCCAACTCAGAACGCGCAGCTTGCATAGCCACCACCATACTGGTTCTTTTGGCGGTTCCAGCCTTGTGCTTGCGGTGTGCACCGCTCCTGCTCAATCTCGAAAACAGCCGCCGTGCGCGCTACCTTCTCGCGCGATGGGAGAATATGCAGTGCCAGTGGGTTGGTCATGGCGTTGCCATCATTCCTCGGTTTTCCCGCTTGATCGCTTCATGTCAAGAGCGTATGTCGACGATGCGTGATCACTGTTGGCCTCAATGGCATGAGTAATATGTTGTTCATCTCGTCATGCTCGCAACTGCATCAGTCAGACTGTCGTTCAATTGCAGCCGTGGCTCTGCACCAAGACCTACTAGGTCGATTGGAAGTGACCCTTCAGACCGGCATTCCAGTTCGATGGCGCAGAGGCGCAATGTCGTTTTAAGCCATTGTAATTACGTGTGTTTCTTGCCCCATCCTCCTCTCCCTTCTCCTCCTCCTCCTCCTCCTCCGATGTTATTGCGTGCTGGGCCTGTCCGTGTCTGGGAGCGCCTTCCGAGGCCCGTGATCCTGCATCTTGACACCATGTACCCTCGTAAGTACGGGGCTTTTGGCCCAGCCGCAG